TTTCAAAAACAAAAAACAAAAAAAACCCCAAAACTCACTCCAGCATCTCCCCCAGACCTTGATGGTCTATTGTATATCTCCACCCATAATCTCTTACGTCAGGCAACTTCACTTTTGTAGTTTGCCTGGTAGCTTCTATGAGCCGGGCCTGCTGCTTTTTTCTGAGTTACATAAAGTGAGTTCCTTGCACCTGTCCTTCAGGCAGCCCCCCAGATAGGTTAGAACAGATGCACACAATAATCATTATTTTACTTTAAAACATCTGTTTTTGGGGGCACCTGAGTGGCTCAGTGGTTAAGCATCTGCCTTCGGTTCAGGTCATGATCCCAGGGTCCTGGGATCGAGCACCGCATCGGGCTCCCTGCTCCACGGGAAGCCTGCTTCTCCCTCTCCCACTCCCCTTGCTTGTGTTCCCTCTCTCGCTGTGTCTCTCTCTGTCAAATAAATAAATAAAATCTTTTAAAAAAATAAAACATATGTTTTTTAAAAAGTTAATCAGTATCACAAATGGAAAACAGTATGATTTGCCAAAAACAGAAGGCAATTATAACTATAACTATAATGCAAACAAAACAATTTTTCTTGAATTCTAGCTAAACCCTGTTCCCACTAAAAGCTCCAGTCCTGAAACTTACTCTTGGTAGTTCCAGAGCTTTTAAAAACATGTCAGAGAGTCTCCTTAATACAATCAGAACAATTGGAAGGGAACCTAAAATGGGATGTCATTCAATTTTTTTTTTTTAATTTTTTTTTCCGGGACCTTTTTCAAATCATTTCATGTTTCATGAGAGGGATGATCTCAACACATTGAGTGTTTGAGTGCAAACACTTGGTGGTTGAGTACAAAGGCTGTGGAGCAAGAATTAAATTCAAATACCAACCCTACCACTGACCAGCTGGGTGACTTTGAGTGAGTTATTGTGCTTCTCTGAGCATTCATTTCTTCTGTTATGGCCTATAAAAATCTAGCCTCACATAAAACCTGCACATGAATGTTGAGAGCAGCTTTATTCACAATAGCCCCAAACTGGAAACAACCCAGATGCCCTTCAATGGGTTGACACCCAAACTGGGGTTCATCCATAACATGAAGTACCATTTAGCAGTAAAGAGAACAAAGTATTGATGAACATAAGAAGCTGGACGAATTTCCAGAAAATTATACTGAGTGAAAAAAATAAAAACAGAGCTAGTCCCAAAAGGTTACATACTCTAGGATTCCATTTATGTAACACTCTTAAAGTGACAAAATTATAAAACTAGGGAATAGATCAGTCCCTGCCGAGGGCTTAGGGATTTGGAGGGAGGGAAAAGATGAGGGAGATGGGTGTAGATATAAAAGAGCAACACAGGAGATCCTCAGGATGACGGGAGTCTTCTGTAACTTGACTCTGGTGGTGGATGCACATTTGATAAAATACACGTAGACACACACAAAAAAGTAAAAGTAAACTGCTGGGAGATCTAAGTGAGATTGGTGGACTGTGGCAATGTCAGTATCCTGGTTGTGATATTGAACTGTAGTTTTGCAAGATGCTACCATTGGAGAAAACTGAGTAAGTGGCACACAGGATCTCTCTGTGTTATTTCTTATAACTGCATGCAAATATATAATTATCTTTTTAAAAAAGATTTATTTATTTATTTGAGAGAGAGAGAGAGAACATGTATGCATGCATGTGTGCATTAGTTAGGGAAGGGGCGGAGGGAGACAGAGAATCTCAAGCAGGCTCCATGCTGAGTGCAGAGCCCTACACAGGGCTCGATCTCACAACCCTGAGATTATGACCTGAGCAGAAATCAAGAGTTATCCGCCCAACTGAATGAGCCACCCAGGTACCCTGCAAATATACAATGATCTTAAAATAAACAGTTTAATTAGAAAAATAAAAGCCTTGTAGGTTTTCTGGGAGGATCAGATGAGGTAGTATTTTGGGAAGGAAATTCATTTAACAAAAGTGTATTGAACCCCTCATTTGTCCAGGCACTATGTGAATGCTAAGCTGAGAACAATAAATAAAATACACAGGGTCCATGTTCTAGTGGAAATTTTATTATACTAGAGCGCCACACAAAAGTGAGTTGTTACTTTAAAAAATTATCCTTAAAATTGGCTCAATATTGTTCACTAATCGACAAGTAGTGTTCATTGAGTACTTGGATATAATGAAAATAGACTCAGAGAGATTACAAAACTTGCCCAGGTGCCAAGTAGAGCCAGGAGCGGGATCCAGACCCAGATCTGAGCACCAGGTTGTGGCTCATCATCTCTAAACTCGTTGCCTTCAACAAAGGGGTATTGTTGTCTTTGCAGGACAACCCAGTAAAGACAGCCAAAGTGGAGTGTGGGGACTTTTACAACTCTGGAGATAGAGCAACTATGGATGAAGAGGGCTACATCTGGTTCCTGGGGAGGAACGATGACATCATCAAAGCCTCTGGGTAGGTATGTCTGACCTGAGCCGGGAGGCATCACCCTCACTTGCCTCATGGGATCTAGCTTGTTCTGACATTCATCCAAGCTTGGTGATGGTTAGCTCAGGCTAACTCTGAACAGAGCTCTGTCTATGGGCCCCCTTTCTGGGGATACCTGTGCACCTCCCCCAAGCCCTGCATCCAGAAAAGTCTATCAAAATGTAGTTCAAGAAGGTCTGCAAGGCGAACCATAATGAGACATTATGCAATTTAAGGGATTTGGAAGGAAGACGTTACATAGGCCCTTATTGTTGAGGAAGCTTCCTCTATGTTTGGCTCCTCTAATGGGACACAACAATCACTGAAAATTTTAATAATAGATAACAACAACATAAACCTTTATGGGGCACTTACTATGGGGATGCACACTCTGCAGTGCTTTATATAACTCAGCTCTCAGTGCTAGAAGGTAGATGCAGTTATGCCCATTTTACAGATGAAGGAACTGGGTTACTGACTAGTGAATAAAGTTCCCTAAAGTTTCAGAGTGCTGGGTACAACCCAGATTTACCAAAGCTGTCTGGCTCCAAGTCAGTTGTCCCTAAATCTTCACGTGATTTGGAAAGAAAAAAAAAATGACACATTATACCAGAGTAACAAGTTCTCTTGGCTATTTCAGGGAAGTTGAGTGTGTTTACCTTTTAAATTTCTAAAACATGCTAATATGATGGGGAAGAGTATGCAGAATTTGCATGAATGTTTAAGATAAAGGCTGAGGCTTCTAGTAGGTTTCATGCCAAGGGAAGCTGCTTGAGCCCAGCCCCAGAGCTCGGGGAGAACTAAATATTCACCCTCCTCCCTGAGCAGAGGCAGTGAGGTGAGAAACTCTGGGGAGCATGTGAGTGTTGTATTTCTCAGCACGGAGTGCCCATTCTTCATGTTTGGGGCCCATGAGAGAGCCAGGGCACAGGTATCTGGCTTCCTGTGACAGTTATCCTATGTGACAAGGGACGAGGTGACCCTCCAAAACATGAGACTTGAGGGCTTGGGTCACCCGGCCCTGGCAGCCACTCAGAAGCCAAGAAGGAGCCCGCAGGTACCGCGTCGGGCCCGCAGAGGTGGAGAATGCCCTGGCCGAACACCCGGCTGTGGCTGAATCAGCTCTGGTGAGCAGCCTGGACCCAATTCGAAGGGAGGTGAGGAGGACACAGAGGTCATCGTGTCTGTGTGTGGGCACCAAGGCAGGTGCCGGGAAACCTTCCTCCTGGTCCTGTCTCTCCAACCTTGGACCTCGGGTGGAGGGGGGCCCCGGGGTGTGCATGTGCATTTACACTGTGTGGCCACCAGAGAGCAGTGTGGCCTCAACCATGTGGGACAGAAAATGATGCTTGTGAATGTGGCTTGCAGCTGGGGCTACTGCTGCCCGTCTCCTAATTTCTGAGCCCTTCCTACCTGCCGGCTCATTTCCCCCTCACAGCAACCTCATTAATTAAGGACTCTGAGACCCTTTTTTACAGGGAAAGAAACAAGCATAAGGAGATTAAATAAGTTGCCTGATCACAAAGCTGTCAAGTGGTGGAGCCAGAATGGGAATGTGAGCAGTCTGGCTCCAGAGCAAGCATTCATTGATTCACTGTGTGCTGAGCACCTACTCTGGACAAGGCCCTGTGCCCTGTAGACGCGACATGAATAATAGGAACGTAGTTAATCACCACCATTGATTTAATGCCCACAGAACTCTACCTATAATAATAGGGAAAATGGTGATGATAATGATAGGAATAAAAATCAGTTTAAACGAGCTTCATGGTTTATATGAATGATCTCGATGAATCTTGAGAGCCATGCCCTGAGGAATGAAGCCGTGCTGTCCCCACATCAGAGAAGGACATGGAGGCTGAGAGAGGTGAAGTAATTTTCCAAGGCAGAGAGTAGAAATTGGAAGTATGGACACTGGTCCTGTTCTTTTCCAGAGGCTCAACTGTCAACTTGTTTTTCCATTTACTTAATACACATTTACTTTTTAGACTATACACTTGGTTGCCACTCCCCCTGAGCCTCCACTCTGGTTCTGCGCTGCAGGTGGTGAAGGCATTTATTGTCCTGACTCCGGAATTCCTCTCCCATGACCGGGACCAGCTCACCAAGGAGCTACAGCAGCATGTGAAGTCAGTGCCAGCCCCGTGTAAGTACCCCAGGAAGGTGAGTGAGGGCAGAGGGATGGGGCCTGGTCCCGTCCAGTGGGCCCTGGGCTCTGCTGCCCCAAATCTCCTGGGGTGGCTGGGGTGGAGCTTACGTAGCCCATGGAATGAGCATTTTTCTCTACTGAAGAAGCATTCAACTTAGGGGTTTAGGGGAGATCCATCTTAATCATGGAAACCTCTATCCTGTGTCAGAAAACAAAAAGGCTGACAAAAAACCTACAGAAAAAAATCAGCCAAGAGCCTAGAAATATCCAAGAAGGATATTTGAAATCTTTCACAATTTGAAAAAGACATTCGGGGCACCTGGGTGGCTCAGTCGTTAAGCGTCTGCCTTCGGCTCGGGTCACGATCTCAGGGTCCTGGGATCGAGCCCCTCATCAGGCTCCCTGCTCGGCGGGAAGCCTGCTTCTCCCTCTCCCACTCCCCCTGCTTGTGTTCCCTCTCTCGTTGTGTCTCTCTCTGTCAAATAAATAAAAAGAAAATCTTGAAAAAAAGAAAAAAAGAAAAAGACATTCAAGTCAACAACTGCCACACTTTTAAAAAACATTATTTGTAGTAAGAAATATATTCTAAATTGAAGCCCAATACATATATAGATACATAACAAACAAAAGGTAACAAAATAATATTTATTGTAGCATAAAATACATTCTGAGAGATTTTTTTTCTACCTCGTTTTCAGTGCCATGTGAGAACTATGAAAATGTCCAACAATAGAGAAATGATTAAATTATTCGTGGTAATTAATGCTGTCCTATAATTTAAAAAGATGATGCAGATCTCTTATTTGTAACATAAAAAACATCACAAAAATATATTATTAAGAGACAAAAGCAGGCTGTGAATAAATATACATGTTATCTGACTTGTTGAAAAACCACGTTTGCAAGGATACATGGGTCAAAAATTTAACGTGTCTTTCTTTTGTAATAATACATTGCTGTGCTTTCTGAGTGTTTACCCAAAGCTAGATAGCTAATATTTATTGAACATGTGTGCCGGGCGCTGGACTCAAAGCTCTACATGTGTTATTTCATTTAATCCCCCCAAACCTGAGATGGTATAACCATCCATTTGACAGAATGGAAACGGGAGAGGCTCAGAGACTCACAGTAAATTGCCTGAGGTTGGAGTGAAGAAAAGGGCAGAGCTGAACTCAAACCCAGTGTATCTGAAAACGGAGTTCGTCCTTCACATGTAAGGCTCTGCCGCCTCCTAGAGAGTAGACTGGAGGATGCAGGCCAGTTAGGATGGGCTGATGTTCCTGTGAGGAACTAGTAGCCCCTGTCTTAGTGGCTCCTACTAGGGAAGTATCTTTCTTGCTCCGGCCACATGTCCGCATGGTCTTCCTGGGACCAGGATAAAGGAGCACCCACCATAGGTAACTGCCAGGTGCTAGAAGAGATGGACAGAGTGGATGCCAGACCCAGTGGTCTCAAGTGTTCTGTTCGAGGTGGCACGCCTCACTCCCACTCACATCTCACTGGTCAGAGCACATCACAGGGCTGCATCCAACTTCCCGGGTCAGGGGACACCCTGACATGCCTTGGTGGAGCCTACTGGGGCCACCACATGGTGCCAGCCCGTCTGGGGGACTGTGCAGGGGCAGAGGAGGAGCCTGGGGCATTGGTAAGAAATGACAGCAGGACTAAGTTGGGATGGGTTTGCTTTATCCTTGACCAGATGGAATTTGTCTCAGAGCTGCCCGAAACCGTCACTGGCGAGATTAAAAGAAGTGACCTTCGGAAAAAGGAGTTTGGTCAGATGTAATCAGCAAAACCCTCAGAAACCACTGTGTCTTCTTTGCCAAATCCCTGGCTGCCTCAGTTTCCTCACTATGGGGAGGGTGAGGAGGGGAGTGTTGGACATTGATTTTAAGAGCATCAGGAGTGCTCACATTGCAGCATTTTTGTTCTTTTAAATTACTATCCATTACTCTCCTGCTTCCAAGTCCCCGAGTGAGCGCCCAGGATGTAGCTGGGGTAATAAAGGGACATGAGCATCCAAGGGGACTTGTGTAGTGCTTTGATTCTGTGAATGAACCAGAGCTAAATGCGGTCCCTCCATGATTCTCCCCAAGCCCCATTGGAGAGGACTCTGGGGCCAGATTCTCCCCCCTGGTTCCAGGGGCCCTGGGTGACTCCTGTTGTCTGTTCAACAACCACAACACAGAGGTCTGGGGAGGGACCCTTCCTTGGCCCCAGGTGTCCACCTCTGCCTGGCTTGCCCATGCCCTGCTGGAGGGTGAGGTCAGGGCCAAGCTAGTGAGGTGGCTGGGGAAGGGGGAAGGCACCGAGGGCAGCCCAGCCTGGTGGTTCCACCTGCCTGCCAGACCATTCCTCACCGCTCCATCCAGCATGCCATGGACCCGCTGCCTCTGTATGGTGCTGCTTCCAGGTCCCAGCCTGCACCAGCTTAGGTGTGGGAGGGATCTGCCCTGTGGGGACCCAGGAAACCTGCAAGACTCCTCCAGCCCTTTCCGGGGTGCCCAATCCCCCATTCCTTCCATGGAGCCCAGGAGCTCCGTTCCCCAGCCCTCCGTAGGGCCCCCCAATCACTCACCCTTCCCCAGGGCCCAGGAATCCCTCAGCCTCCCCAGGGGCCCGGAGCTCTCCCCACACTTTATGAGGTCCTCCTGCCATCTGTAGCCCGAGAGATGATGTGTGCAAAGGGCAGGGCTTAGCACAGGCCTGAAACAGGAGGGACCTCTGGTTGTCACCAGTGTTGCTTTGAACAGCTGTGAGACGTGAGGCACCGGATCTGGGAAGGCACTTGCCCCATGGAGATGATGATGCTAATGTCCACAGGTGCTCAGCACGGGGCTTCCTCTTGTCCTCAGCACAGTTATGGACACAGGCTTGGACGCCCCAGCTCCCTGAAGGAAAGCAGCCCAGGGTCACAGAGCTGGTAAGCAGCACAGCTGGATCTCACACTCTAGGCTCCCGGCCCTGTTTCCAGGGGCCACGAAGGGCTTCGTAGACAGGAGGCTGACACTGGCTTTGGGGACACTTCCTCACCTCCACGAGTGATCTCACCTGTTCGAGGCCCCCAAACTCTGTTCACTGCTTCTTCTTCCCTGCTCCCTGTTCCAGTTATAATCAGGGTGACCCCGGCCATCCTTCCTGGAATTCCCTAGTCCCCCTTATAGGCTGGGCCTATATATATATAGTCTGACTCCACCCCTTCTGTAGCTGGTCTCTCCTTCTATAACCAGGACCACCCGACTCTGGGGCTCTGGAGGCGGGCAGCAGCTTCTAAACAGAATTTAATACAAATGTTTTGCTATCCTTGTTTTGTTTTTGTTTGCGTGTCTTCTATGGCTTCTTTATATTTTATGGCTAATTATATAAATATATTTATATTTATGTTAAAGATACTGCGTTCCTATTTTAGCAGTGCTGAAATGGTTCCTGTTTACAAGAAATTTACACAGTAAGTGGTGGTTTGTAGAGCATTGATTTTCAGCTGCCTTGGGCCTGAATGAGTTGGGATTAACTCACAATTAGATAACACTAATTGTGTTAGTCCTAGAGAGAAACAGTTTAGGAGGTTCGGCTCAGGACAGGGCCCAAGAGAGATGATCACAGGGGGTTTGTCCAGTCACCTGGGTCCCTGGCCCTGCCCACCTGCTTGGCTCTCCCCGTCCAGCACACCTGGGGCTGCCAGCTCTCTGGGTGTTGTCTTGGATCCCCCAGGAGAGAAGCTGGTGAATGTTTTCTCTTAAAATGCTCTCATTCCTGGAGGTCCCAAGAGATCCCATGAGAGTCAGCTTGGATTGTTTCCCCTGTGAGGTTCATATCGTAAAGCCCAAGCTAGTGGGTAGCAGGGTCACATAGATAAGCGACAGATCTACCGCTGTTGGAGGTGTTCAAATGTCTCCGTCAATTAGGGATGATTTTGAGGCCATTCGGTCTTCTCATACTAATATCCCAGGATATACCAGCCCAGAAGACATATCTGATTACAATTTTGTCATGCTTATTTCATTCGGTTCCAATGTAGCTTTTTCTTTGGGATTTCTTTACTCCTATTTTATTTGTAGAGGTACTTCTCAATTTCTAAACATATGGGAATTTCTAGTGAGCTTTTTATCCATGATTTCTAGCACATTATATTACCACAACATGCTCTGTGTGATTTCATGCCTCTGAAACATATTGAAATGTCCCTTATGACCAAAATAGATCGGGTGCATTTTTGTAAGTGTATCCTATATGCCTAAAGTTAATGTGTCCTCCACAGTGGTCTATGGATGTGGACAGACATACGGAGATAGCTGTGGGATTCAGATGGTTTGCTCTCAAGGTCTACATGTTATGGATGTTCTGTCTGCTTTGAGTCACTGAGAGAGGGTTGAAACCTCCCACTCTGCTTGTGTATTTGCTTGTTGTTGCAGTTCTGTCCTCCTTTGCTTTATATGTTGTTCAGCCAATGGCTCTAGGATGGGAGTTCTGGAAGGAAGGAGATAGCGCCCAGAAGAGGGCAACAGGGACCTGGGTTGGGAGGCAGCAGAAACAAGAAGGATGGCCAAAGTTCCAGAGAGGACCTGTTATTGGGATGGCACGTGGTGGGGCGCCAGTTGGGAAGGGGCTCTTTAAATATGAGGTCACGCGGGGTGCCCATTATGACCTACCAGGGGCAAAGGCAGATGATTGGCTGAGAGAGAGTATAAAGCCTCTGGGTTGCTAAGGAATGGTTCAACCAGGGGAAGGCTTGGAGAAAAGTGTATCCTCCTCCAATCCCTTCACCTGCTACTGTTTCCTGCTGACCTAGTGATTTACTAACCTGCTGACCTACTACCCTTTCTGAACCTCCCCTCGAGTACTTACTCTGACCCTGACACCGTCGCTGACCCCTTCTTCTCCTGACAAACGCCTTCCCCAATCCCACCCTTTATTTCTACCCTGCTCCCAACCCTCATTAAAACCCTATCCCCTTCCCACCCCTTCCCACCCCTCCCTACCCCACCCACCCCTACCTCCACTCCACCCCCCATCTCCACCTCCTCCCTGACGCCCCAGCACCCCTTGAAAGGACCAAGACATGAAGGTGCAGAGGCTGTTGTTCCTGGTGCTCTTGCTGCGGTGTCCCGGTTCCCCAAACCCAAATGTGAGTAAACATGGCACTTCACTGGCATCTTCACAGGTGTGGGGGGAAGGGCAGAGGGGGAGGGAGAGAGAGAATCCCAAGCCAGCTGTGCAGTGAGTCCAGAGCCTGAAGAGGGGCTCATCCTCAGGACCATGAGACCATGACTTGATCCAAACCAAGACGTCGTCACTGAACGGCCTGAGCCCCCCGGTGACTCAAAGCTGCTAGTGGTGTCTTCATTCCTACTGGGTTCTTTCACATGGTGGTCAAATAATAGTTTTTTCATGGGGTTCTTGGTGAGAACTTCAGAAGAACTGCTGTTCTTCCTGAAGACCGAGGACCACAGGGCAGGTTTCTCGGTCAGCCTGAAGGGGCTGTGGCCACAGCCGTCCACATCAAGTTCTGGGTCCTGTCTGTGCTGCTTGGTCCAAAAAGAGCAGCTCTGGCAGGATGGAAACCTGCAAATACTAGGGTAATGGTGGCAAGAAGGAAGGATTTGAGAAGATATGAAAAGCCATTGAGCTCTTTGTCTTAAATAGGGGGCTTGTATGATATGTACATTATATCTCATTAAAATTGTCTTTTAAAATGTCGGGAATGCTAATTTATAGGAGCTACGGGCATTAGACTGGCTCCTGGAAGCCCAGTGAAGATCCTGCTTCAAGCCTTGTATGTTTAGGGTCCATCTTCTACATTGATTTCATGTCAGCACATTGTTCATATTTGTGAAGTTTGGCAGCCCTGGGAACAGTGGTATCTTAAGCATTGGTGTTGGGTCTTGAGTGTTAAACAGTGAAATGTCCTTTGTGCTCTGTGCTTCCTGGTTGGTTGACTTGTAACAACTTCGGAGTCAGCCCTTTCCTCCTGGCCTTGGAGGCTGTCCCCAGGGACTCTGTGTCCCACCAGGTCCGTGGGAGCCCTGAGAAGCCCAGCAGACACTAAGTGACCGCATCTCGCTGGGACGTTTGTCACAGGAAAATCTGATGGATTGATGTAATCAGGAAGTGAATGAGTTGTTACCCTTTCTTTGGCCCAGTGTGTACAGAGTGTTGATTTCCCCAAAGTCAAAAGCTCCTGAATGTCCTTAGGATTGTCCAAATATAAAGAAATACCTGGTTCCTAGTGTGACTATTTCACTCCTTAAAAAAGAAAACCCTTACCCTCAGGAGAGAGAGACAGACAGGGAACACTCTAGAAATAAGCAGACTTCTTTAGATCGGCCTACACCAGATTCTTAGAGAGGGATTTGCAAAGTGGGAGTAGTCAGGAAGGACCCTAGTGTTGAGGCAGAATCATCCCACATGAATACCTCCAGTCAAAATAGACTCGATTCTGTTTCTTTTGAGTCTTCAATGGAGGGAATTTCTTCGTAGTCTTTATTGGAAATATTCCCCTCTGCCTAGGCTGCATCTCATAGAGCACTTCGCCTTTCTCACCCTCCCTCATCTCTGAGCTCTTGCATAAACTACCTGGTCTCGCATTTCCCTCCTCCACCTGCTCATGGCCATTGTCTGTTAGAACCTAGTGTTATTGGCCCCATTGGATGTCATCTAGTTAAGAGTCAGCTACTGGTCAGCATCCAGACAGCTGCTAGATGTACCACGTGGCCACAACTGGGGGTGTTTTCCATTTGTGACAAGATGGCCTCTGTCTTTTGTGCATTTGATCCCCATGATCAACCATTGAGCAGATAGCTAATGTTCTCTTTCAGACAGCGGCTGTTCCAAGACCGTGTATGTTTCCCACCAGCACACATGTTTGTGACCTCAGCTGTGAGGGTTGAGGATGAAAATGTTATAGATTTCAGGGGTACTTTCTAGAGAGTTGTGTTTGCACAAAATTCAAGCTTGGTGTGAATTAGTAGGAATTGCATTGTGAGCGTCTTGTCTCCTAAAATACTTGGAACTCCAGTTTTTGTAAAATGAGATGTGTTCTTTGTTTTGGTGTCCATATCCAGGAATTTTGTATTCTTTTAGAAATGAAATTTCATGGTCACCTGGGTGGCTCAGTCAGTTGAGCTTCTGCCTTAGCCTTGGGTCATGATCCCAGGGTCCTGGGATTGAGCCCTGCTTGGGCTCCCTGCTCAGCCGGCAGTCTTCTTTTCTGTCTCCCTCTACCCCTTCCCCTGCTCATGCTCTCTCTCTCTTTCACATAAGTAAATAAAATCTTTTTAAAAATCAAATTTTAGAGTTGCTCTTGACTGATTTAGTTACAATACTGAGAAATAGGAACATGCATGAATGCCTTTCATTGGCTTTTGGAGATAGGTGTTCAAGTAATTTAAAATTTCACAGATACCATCAAAATAAACAAGATCACCTGATTATGAAAATCTTTATGTACCCCTGAAATCTGACATTTTGGGCTGTGATTCTGAAGCAAAGTGGGCATTGAAAGAAAACATCACTGTTTTCAGAAACTAAACAGTAATTCGAATTTATTTTTGTTGAAATAATAATCCCATATTCTTCTAATAGAAGCCTCCTGTCTCTCTCTCACTCATGTCCTGATCTATAAACATCTGTCCATAGAACATTCTCATTTATATCTCTAGTACATTTTTTAGTCTTGCTTTTTCTCATTCTTCCATAAATTTTGGGCCTATTTTTGGAAAGGTTCCAGAGGAGTTTATCCAGGTCCTTCATGGATGTACAATAGAAGTCAGTGACTTCTTACCTACTGAAGTTTACATTTACTTATCTTGTCTATGTTATGTTGGCTTATAAATTCTTAAGTTCTGTTAGCTATAGAAAATTTATTTGCCATGTGTTTATAGGCAAAATAAAATCTCTTAAGATTTGCCTATTAGATTTTTCCTACAGCTTCAGTGTTATGTAATGTATATATGATCACAACATCTTTTTCAAGAATACAGTTTGTTGATAGTTGACATAGGTAAACACAGGGAAACCCATCAGCACAGTACGATAGTAAACACACTCATCACTCCCAAAAGTTTGCCCCTGTTCCTTTGTAATCCCTCTGTGCTCCTTCTCCTCCATGGGGAGGCAGTTGAGAGGTGTGCTTACCTGGGGGAGGCTGGTGGAGGGTTTGTAAAGTTGATTGTTTGGGACAGAGACATTGTAAATCTTTGAGATTCCTCATTGTCTCACGTGTTATTTCAGCTTGTCCATGTTGTGCCTGACCGTTTCCTTCTTGGCCCTGATGGGGTTGGAGTTCTATGGAAACTTCCCATTATCACTGCCCCCTTGGGAGTTTGTGTCTTTCTCATTTATATCTGGAGAACCATCCTCGCTGTAAGTATACTAAAGTAGCTTATATATACTGTTCTTCATAAATGAGCGGAAAATTTTATAGTTATTGGACCTTTTATATCCATTCAGTAATAGAAATATCCCTCTAATACATCAATTTTGATGATCACCTAGATTGAAATAGATTTAAATTTGTGTTGCAGTGCCTTCTGTGATCCATATGTTCTTTTTTTTTTTTTTTAAGTTCAAGCATAATTGGCCAACAGTGTAGTATTAGTTTCAGGTATACAACATGATTCAGCAATTCTATACATTTCTCAGTGCTCATCACAATAAGTGTACTCTTAATCCCCTTCACCTCTTTCATCTATCCCTCCACCCACCTGCCCTCCAACCCATGTGTTCTTTAGAAGTGTGTTGTTTAATCTCCATTTTTTGGTCATTCTCTAGCTATCTTTCAGTACTTGATGTCTAGTTTGAGTCATTTGTGGTCTGAGAACATACGTCCTGTGATTTCTTTTCCTTTGGTCGTTCAGATGTATCTTATGGCCCAGAATATGGCCTCTCTTAGTGAATGTTCCATGGGAACTTGAGAAGAATGTCTTTAGTTTGGTTGTTGAATGGATTATTCTGCAGATGTTAATGGATCCAGTTGATTGGTGATGCTTTTCAGTTCACCTGTATTCTCATGGAATTTCTGTATCTGTTGGATCTGTCAATGACTGATAGAGGGTTCTGAATTCCCCAGCTATAATAGGGATTCATCTGTTTCCATCAGCAATTCTTTCAGTTTCTGCCTGATGTACTTCGACACTCTGTTGTTAATGCATGCACATGAGAAATTATTATGTCTTTTGGAGGATTGACACCTTTACCGTTGAAGTAATGCCCATCATTATCCCCGACGGTTTTCCTTACTCTGTAGTGTGTTTTGAAGGATCATTTCACTGGCCACAGGTTTCTCGTTGGATGTTTCTGTTAACACTTTAAACATTTCATCCTTCTTGATGGCAAGGTTTCGGAAGTGTGATGTAGTCCTTATCCTTATTCCTCTTGGGTAAGGGTTACTGCTCTCCTTCCCCCTTCCACCACCCACACCCAAGCCCTGCTCCAGATTTCCAGACTTGTTTCTTTGTCTTTAATCACCTGTGACTGAACATTCTGGATTAGGCATCATTGGCGTTAGTTGTTGGTGTGTTTGTTTTGGTATTTATCCTGCTTTCCTTGTTTTGAGCTTCCTGGATCTGTGGTTTGGTGGCTATATTAATTTAGGAAAATCCTCAGTCATTATTGCTTCAACTACCTCTCTGTCCATTCTCCTGCTGCTCCTATTCTGTGTGTGTGTTACACGATTTGTAATTGTCCCACTGGTCTTGGATTTTCTGTGCTGTCTTTTTAATATTTGTCTTTGTTTTTCTTTTGGGAAGTTTCTACCGGAAATTCTTTAGGCACAATGATTCTTTCCTCTGGTATGTTGAGTCTCTTAATGAACCCATCAAAGGCATTCTTGATTTCTGTTATGGTATTGTCCAGAATCCCGGTAAAATCTTAGAGTTTCATATCTCTGCTTACATTCATCACCTCTTCTTCCTACTGCCCCCTTTTTGCTTAGATCCAATATCAGGTATGGAAGGGACTTGAAATTCCCAACCTGCCAATGCCATCATCTCTGCCTTAGATGCCTTAGGTAGTGTGATTCTAGTGCTTGCTGTCGTGGTTTTTACCCTTAGTATGCCTTGTACGGTTGTGTTGAAAGCTAGATCTCCTGTTCTGGTAAAGGAACTGAGGTAAATAGGATGTGAGGGTGAGGTTGTCTACTCATCTGTCTGGGGTTAGACTGAGTTTACTCCCAGGTGAGACAGGGAGGCGATTGCATTGGAGTTGAGACTTTCCCCCTCACCTCTATTGCGTAGTCTTTGGGAAAGGCCCAGTTAGGCTCTGGGGACATAGTTTCACTTGAAGGCAGACCTTTCTAAGAAGAACAGAAAACTTCTGAGTTTATTTCTAAATGGAATCTCCCCCCTCTCCCTGCCAATGGAGAAACCTTCCCTTCAAAAGGAACACAAGTATGTGCTATGGTGAGCGCTGTGAATTGGGCAAGACTGTTGAATCACAGATCTGTACCTCTGAAACAAATAATGCAATATATGTTAAGAAAAAAAGAAGAAGAAGATAGCAGGAGGGGAAGAATGAAGGGGGGGGAAATCGGAGGGGGAGATGAACCATGAGAGATGATGATGGACTCTGAAAAACAAACTGAGGGTTCTAGGGGGGAGGGGTGTGGGAGGATGGGTTAGCCAGGTGATGGGTTAAAGAGGGCACGTTCTGCATGGAGCACTGGGTGTTATGCAGAATGAGTCATAGGTCACTACATCAAAAACTAATGATGTAATGTATGGTGATTAACATAACAATAAAAAATTTTTAAAAAAAGGAAAACAAAACTATGACGTCTTTGGTGTGCTCATCTGTCTCTTCACTTCCCCTTCCTGTGGGGCTCGGTGACAAGGGCCAGAGCAACTCAGAGATTCCTAAGCAACATGTGAAGTTACAGGAATCACCATGGTTTTCTGTTTGCCCTCCACTGATGGACTTTCCTCTAACAACGTTATTATGACTGGCTTGTTGATAGCATGGTGATATTCCAATATCCTGGCAAGATTTGGGGGCGGGCCTCAGCCTCTCCTCATCCTGTAAAACTTTTGAACGGGGAAATATGTTAATGGTGTCAAAATGGGGTCTTGCCTAGAGTTTACTAAGCTATAATTTATCAGGGTGACTCGATCTGGATAGCCCGGTTCCCCTCTTTTGAAACATCCGCTGTCATTTCTCTTGTTGCTTATGCTTCGTCTCTCGCCACGTGCCACTCTTTTTCTCATTCGATGGCTTTTCTGTCTTTTTGATGACCCTCTGTAGCAGTCTGGGAAACTTCATAGCACCTGATGTGCCATAACTGTGTGTGAATTCAGCAAACAGCCAACCCTTAGTAATAGTTCAGAGAAGCTTTCTGGACAAGGAAAACGGCATAATTTTGTCAGAGCTTTGCTCACCTGCCAGCCTTCCTTCCTACATTCCTTCCTCCCTTCCTTCCATTTTCTTTCTTTCAGGATCTTATAATAATCCGTTTCTGAACTCAGTGTGCATATCGGGTTGCATTAAAGTTACGGAAATGATGAATTAATGAATATTTTTTTAAATGTCTGCATGGTCCGCTGTCAAGAATTGAACAGGTTGAACGTTCATTTCACAGTATGTGAATAGATTTTGGGGTCAAAACTAAGTTATATACCTTTGTGCTCCTTATCAGAAATGGATTGTGAACTATGATGACTTAATCAGGAAATTCCAATTTTGTCTTCTTTTTTAATCCTGTGAAGTCATTCTGCTATACAAAATGATGATTGTAATTTTCTTGGATGACTGTTTCGGTATTGACCTGAACTAGAGATTTTTCCTAGTAGTACGTTTTGACATCAAACTTCATTTTGTTTCTTCCTCTCTTAGATAAAGCCTCGGCGATATGAAGGTAAGTTTTTTGGCTTTAGTTTTCATTGTCGTAAATTCTCAGTACCGGTGTTTGATGTGGGTATAATTCGACTAGGGGTAAATATGGTGACTTCTGATGTCTAAGTGACTTGTTAACTCCTGAAAATCATTCTCTTTCCCATGTGGAGTCTAAGTGACAATGTGGAGGGTGTTGCCATCTCTTAGGAGACCAGGAGGAGGTATACCTCATGGGAGTAGGGAGAATAGAAAGAGTAATTTTGCAGAGACATGTTTAGGAGGCATGCGATGATAGGAGCCTGAGGTCTGGAGTGAGTACTATGCCATGACCTGGCTCTTGGCGAAATGTCAAGATGAGAAAACACTCTTTGAGTCTAACAAGCAGGCTACACTTAGAGAAGGAGCCACATATTGCCAGACAGAGCGTGTGTCACAAGAGAGGTTTAAACCATGGTTTTGAGTCTGAAGTGGAGGGAGCCTTTCCTGCCAGGGGAGAATGAGTGGAAAGGAACGTGTGCCAGTGGGGCTGATGTATCGTGTCGGGCCTCATGGATTGTGATGATTCCACGGTGCTGTCTGTTGACGGCCAGGGTGGCTGCCTGGCACATAGCAAACCCTCGAATGCTGGTGTTCGTCCCTGTGAGTGCAGCAGTGGGCGTGGTGAGAAGAGAGATCTCAGGGCAGGAGAGCGCTCACATTGGGCCACTAGAAGAGAAGTTTGCACTTTGAGGTAAGATGAGAGAATTATTATTTTTTAAAAGATTCTGTTTATTCATCTGACAGAGAGAGCACAAGCAGACCGAGTGGCTGGCAGAGGGAGGGGGAGAAGCATGCACCCCACTGAGTGCAGACCCAGATGTGGGACCCCAGGGCCCAGAGTGGAATCATGACCCGATGTGGGATCGTGACCCAAGCTGAAGGCAGACACTTAACCGACTGAGCCACGCAGGTACCCCAAGATGAGAGAATTAGGAGCCAGTTAGAGGAGTCTGTGTTCTCGACCTTCGATGTGTTATCCATCTGTGATAGGGCGCTTCATGAGTGTGGTTTTCCTGTCAGGGTAGAGGGTAACCTTCTCATGTTGGGATGAGAAAAGCTTGTGTTCCAGGGAGTGTGAGTTATCCAGGCCCTCCAGAGACTGTAACGTGGAGTTTGTACCCGAGTGTGTTTGATTCCAAAGGTCTTGTCCTCCAGAGCCCCTGCCTAGGGTTCATGACAGGCAATCTGTGAGCAGCAGAAAGTCACTGAAGGCCTTGGAGTTGTCACTCAATTGCCATTTTGAGCTTTCCTTGTGTGGAATTCCAAGGAGGATCTGGAAACGGACATGGCGCTGAGCAGGAGCAAAGGATGGTTTTGTTCATTTTGGGTTGTTGGCAGGGACCTATTTTTGTACCTTAATCATTGGAGGAGAGAAATGTTAGTTGACAGGATGCTTGATTTTTCTGTTACATATCTGGGGATGACATCAGCATTTGCAGTGATTGCATTTTCCAAGACTGGTGCTTACAGATGGGAGTAAACGTAGAAGACATTTGAGGGCGTTTCTCTATCTTTGAAAAAAATTTAAGTAGGAATCTCCCCAAAATAGGTTGTCTTGGGTTTCAAATGCTGCTAAAACTTGCTTCCTTAGGGCACAATGGGAATGCTAACAAGTTAGTTACACCCGAGTGTCAGAGAATGTGTCTCTGGTGCTCATACACTGGGATTATTCAATGTCACTCGTTTTGCTAATTATCTTTGCGATTCTTTTTTCTCCTTTTAGTAACCTTACAACAAATAAATGAGAAGATCCATCGACTTAGGACAGAAAACAGGGAGCTTGCTCAGGAAATATCCCTTTGGGAGCTGAAGGTATCAGTGCCTTTTCAAATACTTTTTGTGATTTCATTTTGGTTACTTCCACCTCTTGTAGTTCATCCTATTGACCTATTTCATGTGATCCAGAAATGGTCCTGATTCAAGAGAAGCTTCACGAATGTAGAGCACTGCCTCTCTATTTTGAAAGGAGTCACACATTAGTAGATAGGTTTGTGTAACACGATGCTATTTTGGAATTCTGTTTCCTTTTTTCATATGTTTTATAGATCCGGGAAGGCAAGAAGCATGTTGCAGAAACTAAGAGTGAACATAAGTTTCTCTCTGAGGAAGTTCTTAAATTGAAGGTAAGAATCCCTTCTTTGCCTGAATTGTGTCCTAACAACAGAAATAAAAGTAATGAATTATCATCATTATCATTATCACTATTATTATTTTAAACATTGATTGATTGATTTGAGAGAGAGAGAAAGAGTGAGTGGTAGGGGACAGAAGGAGAGAGAGAATCCCAAGCTGACTCCATGCTGAGTGTGTAGCCTGATGCAGGGGTCCATCCCAGAACCCTGAGATCAGGCCTTGAGCCAAAACGAAAGCAGGAGTCAGACACTCCACCGACTGTGCCACCCAGATGCCACCCAGGTGCCCCAAGGAATGAATTATTATTACTCATTCAAAATGTTTTGTTGAAGGAGAACATCGAAAAGGTTGACGAAGTTAATGAAAATTTAAATGACACCCTTCGTTGGGCACTGGCTCACTTGCAAATTGAGAGAGAGAAGAAGGTCAAGAATCAGGATGTGGTAAGAGCTGGCTGTTGAGTTTTACCTTAATGTGGCCCCGGCAGGCTTTTGGTTCACTGGGTGAGATGAGTGCAGCATCCTCGCTTGCTGTTTAGCACAGTAGAGAGTGGGCCTCTGGGAACTGAAACTCCTACGGAGCAGTGAGCTGGGATTTCACTTAGAACCACCGTGATGGGGTTTGCTCTTATAAGGACTAGGAAGTATGGTTGATTTCACAGCGAGGTAATGATCACATCATTCAGCCCTGCCCTCCAAGATATGTAGAAAATCCCCACAAGACACTTGAGCGATGAAGGGCGATGGCTGACCCAACTGTGCAGTCCCTTCGTCTCTTAATGCCAAACAGAGCATTTTCAATGTGAATAGGGGAAGATGTGTATATATGTATGTATGTGGATATATATATGAAGGAAAGCCACTAAGAAAGTCATTTGTGAGTTCTTTGACGTGAACTATTTTCCACTTTGCTTACTTCCTCCTTGTTCCATTATGCCTTAAGGGCTTTCTTTGTTGCACTGCATGATCCTGTGCAGGAGGAGGGTGTCAGACACCCTCACGTTGTTCTGTGATCATGATTTCCTGAATGTCTTTTCTCATATCTGTCTTGAAGGCCCAAGATGCATTCGAGGATGGAGAGCAGAGAGCCTTTAGGGCCAAAAAACGAGAACTGCAGGGTATGTTCTTTTGGGGGAAGAAATCCGCATATGGTGGCAATGAGCTTGCATTGGGAAGGGAAGGAATGCCTTCCTGCCTTCAAGGTCTTGCCCTTCTCCTTTCCCTATCAAACCGAAGTTCTCCGGTCATGTGCACATACACACACAAAAGAAAACTCATCCTTTCCAGAATGTCGACGATTGTTGGAAGACCATTGCAATGCCCTGAGTTCTTTGAAAACAACTCAAGAAGCCGAACTGAAAATGCTGAGGAGGAAAGTGGATATCGTGGTGGATTTCTCTAAACAAAGACAAGCGGCTGCCGAAGAGTAAGCTATTCTTGTGTGAATTGTCACCAATACTATTGTATGAATTTAGGTGACGGCCAGTCTAGATAAGTGTATTTCTTTTAGAATTGGATCTAGAGTATTTTTGCCAAATGCATTCTGTAGAATTGTGCCTGCCCTTGCTGCCTTGATGTGTGTGACCTGCATTTCCCTTTGTGTTCTGACTGCTTGTCACGCTTGTTGTGTGACTCCTTGGAGTAGAAGAGGGAAGGTACCCTCCTTAAAACCTTTGATACCTGGATCCCCTCTGGGTCTGTCTGCCTTGTCCTTTTGGTTTCCGTGTCATCACATGTTCTTATTAGCCCTGAATTCAGTCACTTTTGGTTCAGTACGAGCCTTGGGTCAATAATGGGGATAGAAAAATGGAATTGTCTTGCTGCGGAAACACTGGGAGTCTCCTTGTGGAAAGTGGGTTGGGGCTCCAGCAGTCCTGGATGCCTTCATCCAGTATACAACTGACATCACTCACTGTCGCCCAGTCCCTAAGAAGGCCAGGGTATTTCCCATCCACCGGATTTTTTTAGGTGTAACTCTCCTGGGTCCCAGCCAAAGCCTGCGGGTTCACTAGGGCTCACCTTGGCTGGCTGACCCTGAACTTCACTCGTTTCCTTCTAAGCCCATGCCCATAAAGTTGTTCAGCTTCTTTACAGTTCACTTGCCTGTTCCAGAATGTATTGATGTGTCCTGGGGAGATTGGCTCCCACTGCCAGGCTGGCTTTCTCCTAGGCTTCCTTCTTCTCCATCTGGTTCTCGTGTTTCTTCATGTACTCTTTAGAAATTGGGTGCATTCCCTCACGAGTTTGCTCTTTTGTCCAGTGTTTCCTTTCTTTTCTCAGGAGGAGATCAGGACCTTAGAGTCCCTCATTCACGTTGAAAAGCAAAACTGTTCCCTGTCTTCCCTGGAGACTCAGCTTTGTGTTATTCCTTCCCACAGCGGGGATGGGGGCTGCTCTGTGTCACTGGCATCTTGGTTCAGTTCATTGGAAATTTCTTTTGGGGGTGGGTACAGTGTCCTGACCACCTTTCTGTCTTCTACACCTTCCAACTGAGCCACTCCATTACAGCCGCTCCAGAAAGCATTTGCTGAAGGATTGCCTGAGAGACCAGAAGCAAATGCATGTGTCTTTCTCTGTCGGGAGCTTTTGACTCAGTTTCTAAGAGTCTTTTGGCATGTGATCTTGAGGAAATGAGGTGTCCTCTTGAAACCCTTTAAATCAACACCATGAGCAAAAGAGTCTGAGGGCAGCACAGCAAAGCAGCCTTTTTAAGCATCGCACGTTGCTGCCTTCACTATCAGTGAACTCAGTCTTGTTAAAGTCGGTTGACTCCATGCAATTGATAGTTTTCCATCTGAAATCTGTTGCGTGGAGATAACACACTGGCTATGTGACAGTTCACAGCCTTTTGCGCTTCAGGACATATTGCTGGTACTAAGATTGGCCTCTTCAAAGGAGGAGGCAGGGGTTGTAGTTGTAGACCCAGAGATGTCTGGGAGTGAGTTGCCATGCTGATGAAGCCATATTCTGGAAGGCTTCCTTTTGGGTTCATTTTGTCAGGCACAGCCTTGGTCTGAGGATCAGGGCTCCCCATGGAGGTGTACGACTAACGATGGTCCCCTGCTTCATCCTATAGTTGGTCAGGCTTGGTTTTTCACTTTGAACTGAAAGGAGCCTTCACCGTCTCCGACAAAAGACCAACTCTGAGAGGACACAAGCTGCAATGTTACTTGAGGAGTTGATAATGAAGTAGAGAAGTGTAAAGACAGCTCCGATTGCAAGGGACTTGGCAGCATCCAGAGTTTGATTTTTCTTTAACCCTAAATGGGACCTTCAGTTCATTTCCCTCCTTGTGTTGTCAGTCTGTGCATTTATGAGGGACATTGGAATCTAGGCCATCCAGTGTGCTGGGAGGAATGACGGCAGAACTTCTGGACCTTGGCTACTGGACCATGTCTATACCTTTCCTGTCTTAGGAAGGTTGCAAAGACCCGCTGTGACCTGGAGGCAACAGAGAGTCAGCTGTCCGCTGCCATGGAAAATCTGAAAGGAATCACAGAAGCAACGGACAAGTACAAGTGAGTTCAGACACTGAATATTAGCGGCTCCTGAAATCCCTGTTCACTTTGTATTTTTAACTTTTCTTCATTGTTTAGACTCAATTCACATGTAATATAAACAAAAATTCAGAGGCATATCCGGAGAGAATTAACAGACACAAAAAGTTAAGCTCTAGAAAGAACAAAGCAATTTCATTACTAAACATGTCCTGATCCCCAGCGCTGGCCTGATTCTGTGGAGCCTTCTTCCACGCCATCGTCCCTGGGGGTGGTGTCAGTTGTCCTAATCTGGAGGAAAGCAGTTTGTCGTAGGATGCATCCTACCCATAAGCCCGGCAGGGCCATCTGATGGCGCTGGTCTTTGCCGCCCTGGGAGCCATGGCGAGGATAGAAGTTGCCCAGCACACTTGATGGCACCCTTGTCACGTGATAAATTAGGGCGAGATTGAAAATGGGTAAGGAAATTATGTCAACTCTGCACCCTGCAGGGGAAGAAAAATGATTACGGAAAAGAGGTAACAATAGCTTTGATCCTACTGTACATTATAACCATGTGAAAAGTGTTTCCTGTGTGAGGATCAATTGTATGAGGGGACAGATAAGAGGAGAATGGCCACGTGGGCAGATGATTTAAAATCACAGCCAATATTGGGTGTTATCTGACGAGAGCACTTATAACTCACAGGCAAGAAATTGGAGAGATGCAAGATCAGCTGCAGGAGGCAGAGCTCACCTTCCAACACAAGGTAACCTGAGTTGTGCCCCAACCTCCTGGCCCCTTAGCGCCTCCTGCAGGTGATGGAAGTGGCCCTTCGATCCCCCAACATGGGCTCTTGGTGTGTTGACTTTTTCAGATCGCAGCTCATGAGAGAAGTGCTCTAGATAATTGGGTAAGTGTTTTCTTTTTCCTCCTCTTCGTTTGGGGCCCAGTCCGGCACAGCTGAAGGTGGATGTGTTTTTCTCCCCCAGATCAAGGCTCAGGTTTGGGAGAGGAAGATAGTGCAGCAGAGGAGGGAGAACGCCTATGTGAAACACAGGTGTGTGATTTTGACGTGCCTTTTTCTGGGCGTCTTGAGGGGTCAAGGCTAAGCTGTTTAGTGTCTAGTAGAGGACATGGTGGTGTCATTCTTATAGACGTCCATTCTTTTTCTGTCTTCAAGACTGCACATGATGAGGAGAGAGATGCTGCCTGAGGGATCCATGAGGCAGGAACCGATGCCGGGAAGACCTGAGACACAGAACCGTGTGCAGAGAGGTAGGGAGCGTGCTGTGAAATGCAGCAGCCTGATCTCTGCTGGGAGAGCACATGGTGTCCTTCCCGTTCCTGTGGGTGATCACTGTGTGTCCTGGAGAGAATCACAAGCACTACCTAAGGACAGCGGGTTGTCTGAAGGGGTGACAGGAGGGTGCTTTCCTCAGGTGCCCACCGGCCGCAGGGCACCTGTCCCTGTGACAGGTGGAGCTCATGCCCCTCCCGTGACTGCAGACCCTCCCACCTCCTCTACCACCCACCTACTGAAGAGCTGAGCCTGGAGGAGTTGTGGGCCCGAGCTCCCTTCCCACCTTGATGCAATGGTGAAGACTTTTTGGAAAAAAAGAAATGGAGAAAAATGGCATTTATTTACTCTTTATGGAGGTTCCTTGATTTTTGTTTTATTCGTCATCTACAGTCCTATATTAATCCATGAAATTCATGCATTTTACTCCTCTAATGTTATCGGTATAAAGCCACAGCTTTACTTCTCAATCTGCCTATTTTTACTTTGCTCCTGGCTGTACGATTAGTGTACTCCAATTCTTCTCTTCAATATTTATGTAATAGCCAGCCACACATGCTAGGCCTCATCTATAGACTGAAGGATTGAACCATCAACTGGCGGCCTGAGACGAGAATGCATGCCGTTCATGTTGAGGGTTTATCCATTTTTAGCTGGTTGAGCCCAGAGCAGTCTACTGCTGTCCCCTTAGCTATGAAAACACCTGAAGCAAGCTGGGCGATGGTGGTCCCATCCTCGAGGGGGAGAGGCAGAGGTCTCCCCCTTGTCCTCAGGGGTCAGCAGAGACCTTTGAGAAATGCTGTGTGTCTGAGAAGGGACCCAAGAGTGGGACAGAGGGCAACGTGTTAGGGGCGGGTTTGGAGGGTTGGTTTGATTTCTGCACAGTCAGTGCTGGTCTGAATCCACCTCCATCTGTTCTAGGGCTTTGGTCTGATGCTGAAACTGGTGGGTCTCCCATGGGGAACAGGGGCACCGAGCCTCACAGAGACCCAGGGATGAGCAAGGTAACTACTGTGGCCTCTACCAGGTGTTCCGGAAACTTTTCCCTTTCTGAGCAGCACCCTGTCCTGGCCTTGTGTCTGTTGGGTGGGTTAGGGTTTGTCTGTGGTGTCGTTCACCTTTCAAAATACAAGCAGTTCACCCGGGGGCTGACAGGCTTCTCCATTACAGATCCTCACCTTCGGTGGCACCTCCTGAAGCCACGGGTGCTTAGAGGTGAAGGATGGCAGGGCGCTCACTGTGTGTGCGTGTGTGCTTGTGTGTGTGAGTGTGTGCGTGCGTGTGTGTGTTTGTGTCCATCCGTCCACCCCTGCCCACGCACAATGCCTGTGGGGGAAAGTAGCTCGAGGAGGATGACACGTCACTCCACAGTGAAGTCTCTGGCCGGCCTGACTGCCAGTCAGTAGGTTCCGATCAGGTGCGATTGGTGTAGTGTTCATGTTGGGGTTCGATGATTTACCTGTGCCAAGGTCTGTGGTAATCCTCACAACTGGAAACTAGGGGAAACTCTCTCTCCATTTTCTATTGTCTGTTTTGCAGTTTGGAATGTTCTTAGATAGGGCAAGTTTCATAAGTCATCCCTGTTTTCCTTCTGCTGGTACAAATGCTGTACAGAATCCCTCTACTTGTACCCTTTCAACGACTGTTGTGAATTTCCAAAGTGGGGGGTGTCCTGGCACACACATTCTGAAGCGGGGATGTCGGTGATTAGCTGCATGACCCGGGCCTCACAAGCCCTGCAGTTGGGCTTCTAGGAGCAGGTCCTTTTGGTCTTAGGTCACTGTGAGAGCTGGTTTCTTCTCTCATCACACGCTCTGGAGTTGTCCGTCAGAAAGCATACACATTTTTGTGAATTCTCAAAATTCACAAAAGTTAGCCTTATTTAGCCTTCCCATCTTAATTTCCCACTGGACAAAATTGCTCTGGAACTCAGTGTGCGGAAAATTCCAATGACTGTGTTTTAAGATAAACACAGCCGCTGCACTTAAATAAGGGCTATTGGTATCATGTTCCTCTCAGAAAACCCTCTTCCAGGTCCCCTATCAGACCACAGGCCCCTAAATCCTCAAGGGTCTTTGTGGCCTGGACAGAAACTGCAGAGAGTAGAAGACCGCTTTGTCAGGAAGTGAGGCAGGTGGGGACAGTCAGGGGCTTTGCAGGCAAGGGATTCACCTCGAGTGGCTCGGATTCCTTGTGGAGAAAGGGCATTCAGTTTCATCACATTCTGTCTATTCTTAACAAACCCAAATCTTCTGCGGTGGTTGAAGAGGAAAGATGAAGTGTTGTCCACGATGTCGATGCCTCCCTGTCTGGAGTGTGGGCTGCTTTACTTGTTTCCAGTGATCCCTTTTCACCCTTTAAGACTCTACTTCTTGGTAGTGAATGTTGGCAGACTTGGGTAGTGATGTTTGATGACAGTAGGTTATTCCTGTAACATCCTTTCTCCTTCCCCGTCCCCCCCCTTATGATAGTAGGCAGCAATTGGGAGGGACAAAGTTTTCTAGCATGACGTGGCTCTCCTGGAACGTGGTATTGGGGAAGGAGCCAGATGCTGAGAGCTTGCTCTTTGGGTTTCATCTCTTGGTGTTGCAACTTTTGGCTGTCTTACCCAAATATTTTGTCCTCTGTTCTGCAGGTCGGTACAGATGTGAGAGGGTTTCCTCATGCTCCAAGGCCCCCCCATATGCCCTACCACATGGGGCAGGGTTTACCAGGCTTCCCTGGCTATGGGCCACCTCCACCTCCTCCACATGGGTGGACATGGGGGCCTCAACCACAGCTCATTCCTGCTACACATGGTAAGATGATCTGAACTGGATGACCTGAATCGTAAAGCCTATTCATAGTTTAAGTACTTCTGTTGGTGGAGAAGATGTAGAGGAGGTACCAGAAGGCTTTGCAATGCAAGGATCGACCTGAGTGAGGACATAGTAGCATTCGTCACCTTTCTGTGGACATCCATTTCATGGACTGTCTTGTTTCACCCTACAGAAATGGGCAGCAGGTGTCTGCCATAGAGAAGAAAAGTGACAGTTTGCAAAGGACAGACATAAAAGCTTTGCCCATGGGCACTGCCCAGACACAATGTTTTGGGCCCTGGGATGGATGAAGCACAACCTCAAATCACTGTTACTTGTGGAGGCCCCAGTTGTCCAGTGTTATTCACTAGCTCTGAAAACATCTGTCACTGGGTGGACTGATCACATCCTCAGTTGTGGGGGACTTGTCTCTCCTTTGTCCGCAGGGGTGAGAGGAGACCTGTGAGAAATGCTCTGAATCTGGAAGGGATGTGGGAGTGGGAGAGCGTGGAATAGGGTGGGGCAGGTGTAGAGGGTTGGCTTGCATCCTGCATGGTCAAGGCCAGTCTGAATCCACCTCTGTCCCTTGCAGGGCTTCGGTCGTATTCAGAAACCTGTGGCTCTCAAGGGGACAACAGTGGCACCCCGCCCAAGAAGGTCCCACAGAAGGACTAGGTAAATACTGTGTCTTTTCTCAGGTGTAACCATTTCTGGAATGCTGTTCCTGTCTGGGCACCCTGTCCTGACCTGTGTCTATTGGGTATGTCCTGAGATCTGTGTGTGGTGTCATTGACCTTTCAATATGCCCAGTCTTCATTCGGAGCCTACAGACTTCTCTGTTTCCAAATCATCACCTTACGCGGGGCGTCCTGAAGCTCCACGTGCTTAGAAATGAAGGAGAGCAGGACCCTGCCCTTGTGTGTGTGTGTGTGTGTGTGTGTGTGTGTGTGTGTGTGTAAACTCCTGGAGGAGAGCAATATCTCACTCCACACTGAAGTCGGCCAGTCCCGCTGACTCCTTGCAGTTTGCTTTCCCGCGGGAGCGGTAGTGGTGTTGGGTTTCGGGTCAGGAGACTAAGCTGGGAGAATGTCTGCGGTAATCCTCACAGCTGGAAACGGGAAAAGCCATGCCCTGCCTCACACTTTGTGCCACGTGCTTTGGGCAGCTGTGAGTGTTGGTGGACAAGGTGAGCTGCGACCTCACGTGCGTTCCATCTGTGTGGGTAAAGACGCGACCCGGAATCCCTCCAGTTGCTCCCTGGGTGAGATGAAGGTGAACTCTGACAGGGGCCAGCTGTGTGGTAGAAAATGCCCCCCGGAGCACAGGCGTGAAGAGGGAATCCCGGTGACTCCCTGCAGGGCCCACGGCTCACACACGTTTCAGTCGTGCTCCCGTGAGCGGGTTCTGATGCGGTTTGCTGGCTGTGCCGACTGATAGCGTCTCTCCTGATCCACCCTGGGAGGGTCACGCCTGCTCTCCAGACACATTGGTTTGCATCCGGGGATGCAGAATGGGCCCTCAGTGGTTCTCGGCACCAAGGACTATGCATTTGCTCTGTGCCTGAGCTGAGGAGCATGGGAATGTCGGTGACGCAGATCCACAGAGCTGGGTCTCACGAATTCATCGGGATCGTGTTCTTCTCAGCACTTTTTCCGGTCTGCTGCAGGACTCCAGAAACTCCTGTCTCCTGAGCGGTGTCTGTGGCCATGGACAGCACTTGGGAGAGTAGAAGAAGACCCCTTTGTCAGGGAGGGAAGCGGAGCAGGGTCAGGCGGGGGCTGGTGGACAGCAGTTGGACCCACGAGGGGCTGTGTTTCCACGTGTGGACACTGGGCTTCTCTGGACTTCTCACCGTGCTGACCCCTGCTTCTTTGGGTTTCAGGTTGATGGGGGTTCTGCTTCTGTCTGTCATAGCAACATTCCTTTGGTTTCTGTTCTGCAGAACCCTGTGGATGCAAGAGGACCTGCTCCTGTACCCGGCCCACTGGGTCCACCATACCCCATGGATCCCCCTTCATCACCATCCTGGGGCCCTGGGGCACATCTCCCTCCACCCACCCAGTGGTCTCTGCATCCTTACCCTGCACACGAACCTACACCACAGGGTTTGATGATATGAATTGTATGATTTGACTTATAATCTGTATTGTCTTCTTTCTTATTGAGTTGGTGGGGCAAAGGCCAAGTTTGTGCTGAGGCCTTGACATTGGGAGGGGAAAACCACCTGGGGGCGCTGTAACATCCTGAAGTTTCTCAGGACATACAGGTGTTGTGCTGGGCTATTTCCACACACTGAGCGGGGGGAGGTGCCGTTGTTGGGAAGGAAGTGTCTCTATCGCACAATGGCAGACATATATTTCTTACCGTCGGGCACGTCCAGAGTCCACAGTTGTTGTTCTGGGCGGGATGAAACACACCTCTCACTTTGTTTTCAGCGTGTTGAGTTTAAGCTCTCATTTCCTCAGTTATATAAACACCTGAAGCAGGGCTATGGTCCCTTGATTAATCATTAGGGCAGGGGTCTGTCCCTTGTCCTCGGCAGTCAGTGGATACTTGTGGGAAACCCTCTTGTCCGGTAAGGGAGGTGAGAGTGAGAAACAGTGGCAGATGCTGGAGGCAGGTGTAGATGGTTTGTTGGAATGTTGCTCAGTCACTTCCAGTGGGATGGTCTTCCGTCTTTTCTCTGACGTGGGTCAGATACAGACGCTGGGGCATCCTCCATAAGGAATAGCAGTCCTGCATGCAGGCCTCTCATGTTATGGGAGAGTGAATGTTGCTAAGGACATGATCACTTTCTTCAGGTTGCTCAGGAGACGCCTTTGAGGGACTTTGTCTTTCACTCATACTGAGGTGGTTGGCAGGTCCCTTTCTGGTGAAGGAGAGCCGCTCTTCTCCAAAAGCTGGGCACAGCAGGTATGCGCATGCACACTGTGCAGAGACGCTATTCTGTGCTCTGGGAGGGATGAGGAGGGAACTTCAGGTGTCTGAGAGCAACGAGGGACACATTCATTAAACGACAGAGAGGTTGTGTTCCGTATAAGGGAAGCCCCAGCGATGGATCTGAAGGACCAGAGAGGGAGCCATGAGTCACTAGAAACAGGAGGCTGTGGTTGAGAAGGATGGAGGTGCTCAGGGGAGTGGATGGGCCTCTCTCGGGTAGAGCGGAGGCCGTTCCTGCAGGCCAGCAGCTTGAGCAGTGAGTGTGAGGACACCGTGAGATCCACACTGAGCTGCTGCCTGTGTCCATCACACAGCGTGGATGATGCAATTATTTGTATCAGAACGTCATGGTTGCCATAAAGCTGTTCGTTCATAATCTATAAGGATTGTTGTTTCCTCTGAATTTCTGAAGGTTCTGAACTGGGTGAAAGAATGTGGTGGAGACTTGGGAAATTGAACTCGGTTCCTTTGGGGAATCTTGTCTGCCTGAGTTTGTGGGCCCCAGTGAGAAAAAGTGAAGACGGGACCAAGACCAGCAGAGTGGCTGCCTTGGCCTTCAGCCTGAGTCAGACTCTTCGTGGGGAATTCAGGATTGACCAGGAGCCACCCTCGCTGGATCCCTGTCACTACGCCTCTGCATCTGAGTCACCGCCGTGCCTTCACTTTGATTCTCCCTGAACTTTGGTCACAGTATCCTGTGGATTTACCTGTATTCCTGCCTGAATGCCTTGTTAGTGTAGAAGAAAGCAACTAATTTCTGTACATTGATTTTGTATCCTGCCACATTACTGAATTGCTGTATGAGTTCTAGTAATGTGGGGTTGAATCTTGGGTTTTCCACATAAAGTATCATGTCATCTGTGAAAAGAGAGAGTTTGACTTCTTTGCCAGTTTGAATACCTTTTATTTCTGTTTGTTGTCTGATTGCTGTTGCTAGGACTTCTAGTACTATGTTGAACAGTAGTGGCGAGGGTGGGTATCCTTGACGTGTTCCTGATCTTAAGGGAAAGGCTTTTCCCCATTGAGGATGATATTCACTGTGGGTTTTTCATAGATGGATTTTATGAACTTGAGGAATGTTCCCTCTATCCCTATACTCTGAAGAGTTTTAATCAGGAAAGGATGCTGTACTTTGTCACATGCTTTTTCTGCATCAATTGAGAGGACCATATGGTTCTTCTCCCTCTTATTAATGTGTTCTATCACATTGATTGATTTGCGAATGTTGAACCACCCTTGCATCCTGGGGATAAATCCCACTTGGTCGTGGTGGATGATCCTTTTAATGCATTGTTGGATCCTCTTAGCTAGGATTTTGTTGCAGATTTTGGAATCCATATTCATCAGGGATATCAGTCTGAAATTCTCCTGTTTGATGGAGTCTTTGCCTGGTTTGGGGATTAAGGTAATGCTGGCCTCATAGAATGAGTTTGGAAGTTTTCCTTCCATTTCTACTGTTGAAACAGCTTCAGTAGAATAGGTATTATTTCTTCTTTGAATGTTTGGTAGAATTCCCCAGGGAATCCATCAGGCCCTGGACTCTTGTTTTTCGGGAGGTTTTAGATCACTGCTTCAATCTCGTTACTGGTTATTGGCCTATTCAGGTTGTCAATTTCTTCCTGTTTCAATCTTGGCAGCTTATAGGTTTCCAAGAAGGCCTCCATTTCATCCAGATTGCTCAGTTTATTGGCATGTAGTTTTGATAATAATTTCTAATAACTGTTTCTATATCCTTGGTGTTAGTCATGATCTCTCCCCTTTCATTCATAATTTTATTAATTTGGGTCCTTTCTCTTTTCTTTTGGATAAGTCTGGCCAGTGGTTTATCGATCTTATTAATTCTTTCAAAGAACCAACTTCTAGTTTCATTAATCTGATCTACTGTGTTTCTGGTTTCTAATTCATTGATCTCTGCTCTAATCTTATTTCTCTTCTAATGCATGGCTTAGGCATCATTTGTTGCCTTTTCTCTAGTTCTTTAAGGTGTAGAGTTAGTTGGTGAATTCGGGATTTTTCTATTTTTTTGAGTGAGGCTTGGATGGCTATGAATATACCCCTTAGGACCATCTTTGCAGTATCCCATAGGTTTTGGACCGATGTGTTTTCGTTCTCATTGATTTCCATGAATTGTTTAAGTTTTTCTTTGATTTCCTGGTTTACCCAAACATTCTTGAGCAGAGTGGTCTTTAGCTTCCAAGTGTTTGAATTTCTGCCAAATTTTTTCTTGTGATTGAGTTCCAGTTTTAAAGCATTACCATCTGAGAATATGCAGGGAATAATCTGTCTTTTGGTATCGGTTGAGACCTGATTTGTGACCCAGTATGTGGTCTATTCTGGAGAAAGTTCCATGTGCGCTTGAGAAGAATGAGTATTCTGTTGTTTTAGGGTGGAATGTTCTGTATATACCTATGAGGTCCATCTGGTGCAGTGTGTCATTCAAAGCTCTTGTTTCCTTGTTGGTTTTCTGCTTAGATGATCTGTCCAGTGCTGAGAGTGGAGTATTGAGGTCTCCTACTATTAAGGTATTCTTACAATATGACTCTTTATTTTGGTTAACAGTTGGCTTATGTAGGTGGCTGCTCCCATGTTGGGGGCGTATATATTTACAATTGTTAGATCTTCTTGTTGGATAGACCCTTTAAGAATGATATAGTGTCCTTCTATGTCTCTAACTACAGACTTTAGTTTAAAATCTGCTTTGTCTAAGAATTGCTACCCCAGCTTTCTTTTGAGGTCTGCTGGCATGGAAGGTGGATCTCCATCCCTTCACTTTCAGTCTGGATGTATCTTTAGGTTCAAAATGAGTCTCTTGTAGGCAGCATATGGATGGGTCCTGTCTTTTTATCTAATCTGCAACCCTGTGCTGTTTTATGGGAGCATTTAGGCCATTCATGTTGAGAGTGATTATTGAAAGATATGAATTAATTGTCATCATGTTGCCTGTGAAGACTGTTTTTATAGATTGTCCCTGTAAATTTCTGTTGTAGATCACTCTTGGGGTCTTTCTCCTTTTATAGAACCCCCCTTAATATTTCTTGCAGGGCCGGCTTAATGGTCACATATTCTTTCAGTTTCTGCTGGTCTTGGAAGCTCTGCACCTCTCCACCCATTCTAAATGACAGCCTTGCCAGATAAAGTATTCTTGGCTGCATGTTCTTCTCATTTAGTACCCTGAATATATCATGCCAGCCCTTTCTGGCCTCCCAGGGCTCTGTGGATAGGTCTGACATTATTCTGATGTTCCTCCCTCTTTATGTAAGGAATCTCTTCCCCCTAACTGCCTTTAAGATGGTTTCCTTGGTTCTAAGGTTTGCGACATGCTGGGGTGTTGGCCTGTTTTCCTTGATCTTGGGAGGGGTCCTCTCTGCCTCTAGGACACGAATGTTTGTTTCATTCCCCAGATTAGGGAAATTCTCAGCTATGATTTGTTCAAATACATCTCCCCGTCCCCTCTCTCTATCCACTCCCTCCGGGATTCAAATTTTGCTGACATTGGAACGCTTCATGGTGTCACTTATTTCTCTGATTCTATTTTCATGGATTCTGAGTTGTTTTTCCCTGGTCTCCTCTTTTCCCTTTTTATCTATTATATTGTCTTCCAGGTCGCTTATTCATTCTTCTGCCTCACTTACCCTAGCTGTTCGATTATCTAGATTGGATTGGATCTCATTGATAGCATTTTTAAGTTCTGCCAATTCAGCTTTCATTTCTGCCCTTAGAGACTCTATGTTGCCATTGACTGATTTCTCCATTCTAGCCATTGTCTTCACAATTGCTAGCCTGAATTCCATCTCCCACATCTTGGTTATATCTGCATTCATTTCTAAATCTACAGCATAAGTCATAATCTCTGAGTCTTCTATTTTGGGGGTTCCTCCTCCTAGTCATTCTGTTGATGGATGTTTGAGGGAATGTATAGAGTCCAAATTATTGACCAGAACCCAAGGAAGATGCACTTGTTTTCTTGGGACCTTAGGGTTGCTGGCCTCTTGTTTTCCCAGCCTGTCTTCTGGGGGAGGGCCCTGTTGCGCTGTTACTCAGGCAACCCTGTTTGGGCGGAGTTGCCCTGCCCCCCTGTGGCGGGGGATGGGCTCAGCAGGAATCAGTTTTGGGGGCTTTTGTTCTCTGGCAGCTTTCCCTGGCACCTTTCTGCGTCTCTTCCACGAGCCAGAGCAGAAGAGACTGTTTCCAACCCTCTGCCTCAGAGCAGAGAGATCGCAGTCTGTTCTTCAGTGAGGTCTCCAGGCCACACTGTCTCCGTTTCTGTCCGTGCTGCTATAAACTGCCGCACCTTGGTTGTGCGCCCCTCCGCAGGACCCCCAGTCCTGCCTCCGGGTCGGGGCACGTCTCTGCCCTTTATGCTTCTAAAACCACCAGTCGCTCCCAGTGCACCTGTGCGACCCTGCTGCTCTGGGTTTCCGCCCCGAGGGCTGCCCTAAAGTTCTTTCCCCACCACTACCGGTCTGCGAGTCTGTGCCCCATCCCCAGCACACAAGGCAGTCACTCACCAGCAGTGTAGAATCCCCACGGCCAGGCACCCTCCCGCTGCCATTTATCCTCTGATATCTGCCCACGGAATCAGGGCTTCTGGCTTCATACCTCAGAACCAACCGCCTGTGATATTCTGCTTGTAGAGATCCAGATCTTCTTACATCTCAGGCTGGTTTCGTGGGTGCTCAGAGTGGTCTGGTAGATATCCAGCTCAATTCCAGGGACCAGTTGAAATAGGGTTCCCTACGCCTCCACCATCTTTCCTTCCTCCTTGTTTTTTTTTTTTTTCAGTTTCGGGTATCATCTGATTTGCTTAGTGTATATTTCTCTGGGGTTGTTGTTGCCATTTTAGTATTTCTCTCATTCATCCATTCTTCGCTGGACAGAGGGACAAGATGGAAAAACTCACCTCAAAAAAGAGAACAAGAGGCATTACTGACTGCCAGAGATCTAATAAGTATGGACATAAGATGTTGGAACCAGAGTTCAGAATAAAGATGATAAAGATACTTGCTAGGCTTGAAAAAAACATAGAAGACACTAGAGAATCCCTTTCTGGGGAAATAAAAGAACTAAAATCTAACCAAGTCAAAATAAAAAATGCTATTAATGAGATGCAATCAAAAATGGAGACTGCTAAAATAAATGAGGCAGAAGAGAGAATTGGTTATATAAAAGACTAAACTATGGAGAATATGGAGGTGAGAAAAAGAGAGGAAAACAACTACTGGATCATGAGGGGAGAATTGGAGAGATAAGTGATGCCATAAAGTGAAACAATAATAGAATAATTGGGATCCCAGAAGAAGAGGAAAGACGGAGATGGGGGGCGGGCAGAAGGTATATTGGAGCAAATTATAGTGAAGAACCTCCCTAACATGGGGAAGGAAACAAGTATCCACGTCCAAGAGGCACAGAGAACCACCCTCAAAATTGATAAAAGTGGGTCAACACCCCAACATCCAATAGCGAAACTTGCAAACCTCAGAGACAAAGAGAAAATTCTGAAAGCAGCTCCGGATAAGAGGTGGTTCACCTACCAGGGTAGAAACAGAAGACTGGCAGCAGACCCATCCACAGAGACCTGGCAGGCCAGAAAGGATCGGCATGATATATTCATGGTGCTCAATGAGAAAAATATGCAGCCAAGAATACTTTATCCAGCAAGGCTGTCATTCAGAATAGAAGGAGAAATAAACAGCTTCTAAGACTAACGGAAACTAAAAGAACTTGTGATCACGAAAACAATCCTGCAAGAAATATTAAAGGTGATCCTATAAGCAAAGAGAGAGCCCAAAAGTAACACAAACCAGAAAGGAACAGAGACGATATACAGAAAGAGCGCTTTTATAGGTAATACAATGGCACTAAATTCATATCTTTTAATAGTTACTCTGAATGTAAATGAGATAAATGGACAATCAAAAGATACGGGGTATTGGACTAGATGAAAAAGCAAGACCCATCCATATTTTGTCTAAAGAGACTCATTTTAGATGCAAAGACACGTCCAGATTGAAATTGGGGGGTGGAATCGTGCTAATGGACATCAAAAGAAAACTGGGGTAGTAACCCTTATCAGACAAATTAGATTTTAAACCAAGGACTGTAATAAGAGCTGAGGAAGGAAGCTATATCATACTTAAAAGGGTCTATCAAACAAGAAGA